AAGTTATCTGAATAATAAATAAATAAATTTTGTGATAAATTCATCTGTTATAGGTGCATTATTGCAGTTATCAAAAAATTATGCTTGGATAAAAATAAAATAAAACAGCTTAAAATATTAAAAAATAAAATGTTTTAATTAGGATTAAACTTTCTAAGATGAATAATTTAGAATTTGAACAGATATCAATAGCTTATAATCTGATTCACATATTAATTACAAAATTACAAGTACCAAACGAGCAGCCAAATTCTTTATCGGACTATAGGGCAAAATAATTACAAAGAAAATTTACAGGAGGCTAGCTTAGTAATTATTTAGCCTTACAGCCCGATAAAGAATTTGCCCGTTTGTTCGATATTTCAAATAACTATCGGGTTAGTTGTATTATTTATAAAATTACAAGTATTTTGTACAATTAACAGATACTGCAAAACTGAATGAGATTATATTGAAAGCACAGACAACAAATTAACTGAATTACAGGTGTTATGTTAATTCAGTTAAATTGTGTTCTGTAACAATTCAGTTAAAAGAATTCAATTTAATATAAGAACAAATGTTTTCAAATGTCTTTAACAGCCATCATCAGGTTATAGAATGTTACATAAAACAAAATTTAAATAAAATGAAACATTCCATAATCTGAAGATGGCTGTTAAAGACAGTTGAGTTGAAAACACTTGTTCTTATAATAAGATGGTTCCTTTTAATTAAATTACAGGTGTTAGTTTGCAGTTTTAATATTTTGTACAAAATTTCTTTCATCCTCATTTAATTATTTCATAGGGTAAGTACCATTTATTTAAAATTTTACAGATCTGTGATTAAAAGAATAATTTTCTGATCCTTTCTGTCAGAGAATTTTCAAATAATACATCTTTCAGAGCCTTTCATTTAACCTTTAATCTTTCTTAACTATGGAGTAATCATAACCAAATTTTTTTGTTATTGTGTAAATCATTAACAATATTTATTTGCATAAAAATACAGCAAATCAAATTAACAAAATTTTAATTTTTTTGAGATTTATTTAAAAACAAACTGGAAATAACAAGTTACAAAGATCAGAAATCTGAAAGATATATTGCCCAACTGATGGTAAATCCCTTGCTATAAAGGATCGGAAAAATTTTTGGGGTATAAAAAATACCACATTAGAAAAAATAATTGGTGATTTTGAAAAATTTAAACTTTTGTCATATAAAATTTAATAAATTATTCAAAATTATATTTTTTTTGTGAAATTATTCATCAAAATATTGATTTTCAATATCTTATAACTTCAAGCTTGGACTAATATTTTTCAACAGATTAAAATGATGTGCATCTGAAATAATAATATAGAAAATAAAAATAATAAAGCAAACTAAATGCCATTGTACAAATAATAATATAATATAATATATTAAATATATAAAAAATAAAAT